TTTGTATTGTCTCATCCTAAGTTGTTTAAATGTTAATTTTTAGCTTCACTCCTAATTTTTGCTGGTCTTATGTACCTTGAGCATCAATAAGATTGTTTTCTAAATTCTCAAAATTTTAGTAGGTATTCTTTTAAGTCCAAATATTGTTTAAAAAAGGTATGTCCCAGTCCGTTGAGCTGTATAAATATGCTAAATAATATGTTAAAGTTTGATTGGACATCATAAATTGAGCAGATGTTTTAAATGTTAAGGTTGTAGAGCACATTCATTCCATTTTACTTGTAGCTTATAAGTAATCACAATGAAATTTATCTGTAGGCAGGCAGGACCAATTTTTAATTTGTTTCAAAAATGTTATTGCTTGCCATATACTCAGCTTTATGCCTCTTTTTCCTGAACTGTGTAGCACAATATTTTTAATGCTAAAATATCTACATCTGTTCAACCTGTGCTGCCAAATGGTGTTTCTTGCTCTGTATATTCCTATAGCAGGAAAGCAAGAGATTTCCCTGTTGGCCATTTGTTATAACTTACTCGTTGATTGTAAATATTAAAAGTGCGTATAGCGGTTGACCTAATCTGACTCATCTCTTTTCAATCCCATACCTCCATGTCTAGAAAAGTTGTCGCTAGAATTGGAACAGTTGCATTAGGTGGCTTAAACAGGAAGGAGAAGTTCACCCTTTATCATTTCAGCACCATACCGTGACGACGCAAAGTGTAAGGTTGGTGTATTCGTTTGATCGTTCTCGTTGGCATTAAAAAGCTTGCAATGTTACTCAAAAGTGCTGACCTTAAACAGAAACAAACGTAGTGCAAACGCCTATAGAACCTGAATGTGGCAAAATCCTAAATGTCAGTGTTACCAAGATGCTCTGTAAAATGTCAATAGTCAACAAAAAGCGGGCGCGCGGGCGCCATACGGCATCTCATTTAAAGGGAGACGAAAGTAGTCGTCTTTATGGGGTGGCGACAAATCGTGTGGGTAAAATCACTGGGTGTACCACTCTCCGACACCCCGCACTCAGCGCTGCTGCTGTGTCGGGCGGATGTTCGGATGGTGTGGGGACGCGGGGGCGACACTGGTTCCCTTGGTAGGCCTAGTCGCTCTCACAGTGTAGT